AAAAAAAAAAAAAAAAAAAAACCCTTTTGTTAACTAAACAGCCGTGATACAGTGTCAGAAGGTAGCATTTGGAGTCAGAAATTGTGAGTTCCAGTTACTCTCACTTTATCAGCCATGTAATTTTCAAAATAAAAACAATAGTAACACAGCTTGTAACACACTAAAAAGATCTGGTTAAAATAAGCAGTTCTGTTATAGAATGTCTAGTTTTTGAAAACATGACAAGCATATTTCAAATGGTCAAAATAATGATTTTATGAGTAGCATTAAATCCATGCACATTCTGCACGTCAGAGGTCCTGGGATTGAATGTATTTGAATGTATTCAAAACTAGAAAGTCATTTGCATGTTTTGTAAGGAGACATCCCTTTGTAGTAGCATGTTGTGTGTTCACCTTATTTGTATAACTAACGAAGCCGTCTTTGGAGAATAATATCGAAAAGCAGAAACAGAAGTAATGGTAACAAGGAACAGACTCTGTCTGTTTTAATGTTTGGGGAAGCCAAGTTAATACTTCATGACCAATACTAAGAAACTTCTTCAAAGACATGTGTATATATTGTTCAACAATAAACACAGCAGGCTTCATTTTCTATTTCTTCATTTTCTAAGCTTGAGCGGACGTAACACTGTAGAAAAGGAATGCTGGATAATCAATGATTTTACCAAAGTGCCCATAGCACCTCGTCTTCATGTTGGCTGTGAGTTTCTAATCTATGGCAGAGAAATCACCTCTATTTTCAATTTAAAAAGGATTAAACTTGCTACATTTTAAAATGCTGGTGATTACCGAAAATGATCATAGTCAATTCATCGTGTGATTAAATTCCTAAGATAAATATCTATCCAATAGCTATAAAAATTTGATCCACTTCTCCCCTTCTAAAAGAATGAAGAAAAGGACATCTCCTTGAGCTACTTAATGAGATCTCCGTTAGAGAGAGATCAAATGGAAGTTTTCTTTGAAATCCAAAAGGCAGATTCATCATTATCAGTTAAGCTATATAACATAAGCATATTTCTTTCTATAAGGAATGTCACTAAGAATTTGCCACTTGACATTGTGTAAAAAATTATAAAATCTGAATAAACAGGAATAATCAACAAAAGAACCATTAAATCCACTCCTAGGCTGACATTTATTCGTTCCTGTGCAAATCCAACAGGGGACAGAAAAATGCAAAAATTTGAAATAAACTCATTATATGCCAAATGCTCAACTCTACTTTTTATTTTTTGAGACAGAGTC